CAAAAATGACATGTAAAAACCAAAAAATTGTAAAAATTATTGCCAAAATAGTAAAAGCCATTACTAAAATTCATAGAATCTCGCCAGGGACCTAAAATAGTAAAAATAACTTGAAAAAGAAAACAAAGCTGGAAGGACTCACTACTTCCTGGATTTAAAACTGTAGTACAAAATTACAGTAATCAAAACAGTGTGTGTACTGGCATAAAAGACAAACAATATAGGCAATCTGGACAAAATAAAGGAGCCCAGGAAGTAAACCTGTTAATATATATATATGGTCCAAACAATTTTGAAAAGAAGGTTCAAAGCCACTTCAATGGGAAAAGGACCAATTTTTCAATAGACCGGTGCAAGGAGAAGCAGCATAGTCCACATGGCAGAAGAGTGAGAGTGGACTCAGTCTAACCACCATATAAAAAGTCAATCAAAAGGATCAAGACCTAAAGTAGAACTTAAACCTATGAAACTCTAAGAACAAGCATAGGGTGGCAAGAGCTTCCATAGGCCACGTGCAGTGGGCTTCAACACCGTTAACTCCCAGCACTTGGGAGAGCGCCAAGGTGGGTGGTCACCTGAGGATCAAGAGGTTGAGACTAGCCTGGTCCAACATGGAAAATCCTTCTCTACTAAAATACAAATAAGGCCCGGCACGGTTGGCTCAAGCCTGTAATTCCTCAGGCACTTTTGGGGAGGCCTGAGGGGAGGTAGATCACCTGGAAGGTTCCAGCAGTTCGAGACCAGCCTGGCATCAACCAATGTGAATACCCCCATCTTCTGGACTGGGCAGAGATTTCTTGGATACAACATCAAAGGCACAGACAAAAAAAGAAAAAAATAGATGAACTTCACAAAAATTTTAAAATTTTGGGCATCAAAAGACACATCAACAGAGTAAAACAGAAGCCCACAGAATGGGAGAAAATATTTGCAAATCATATATCTGATGAGGAATTGATACCCAGAAATCTTAAAAATTAACAATAAAAAAAAAAAAACACATTCAAAAATGGACAAAGGACTTGAACAGACTTTCTTTAAAGAAGATACACCAATGGCCAATAAGAAAATGAAAAGATGCTCAACATCACTAATCATTAGAAAAATGCAAATTAAAACTATAGTGAGATACCACCTCACACCCATCAGGATGGCTAGTATCAAGAAAACAGAAAATAACAAATGTTGGCAAGGATATGGAAAAACAGAAACTCTTGTGTACTGTTGGTGGGAATGTAAAATGGTGCAGTCACTGTGGAAAACAGTTCCTCTAAAAAACTTAAATTAGAATAACCATAGAATTTAGCCATTCTACTTCTGGGTATATACCCAAAAGAATTGAAAGCAGTCTCAAAGATATATCTGCATATACCCATGTTCACAGCAGCATTATTCACATTGGCAAAAACATGGTAGCAACCCAAGTGTCTACCAACAGATGAATGAATAAACAAAATGTGGTGTTTTCATATAATGGAATGGTATTCAACCTTAAGGAAAAAAAAATGTCTGACATGTGCTATAACTTGGATGAACCTTGAGGACACTATGCTGAGTGAAATCAGCCAGTCACAAAAAAACAAATACTGTATGATTCCACTTGTATGAAGAGGAGTAGTCAAAATCGTAAAGACAGAAGGTAGAGTAGTGGTTGTCAGGGTTGAGGGGAAAGGACAATGAGAAGCTATGGTTTAATTTGCACAGAGTTTCAGTTTTACGAGATGAGAAGCGTTATAATGATGGGTGGTGGTGATGCTTGCACATTATGAATATATTTAATACCATTGAATCATATGCTTAAAAATGGTTAAGGTGGTAAATGTTATGTGGTTTTTACCACAATATTTAAAAAGTACACTTAATACATTTAAAATGGTTAAAAAGCAGCCACTGTATATGTCCTAACATAGTATGGAAGAAAGAAGGCTTTCTTTAATAAAACACAGAAATAGCCAGATGCGGCGGCTCATGCCAGTTATCCCAACACTTTGGGAGGTCGATGTAAACGAATTACTTGAGGCCAGAAGCTGAAGATCTGTCTGGGCAACATGGCAAAACCCCTTCTCTATGAAAAATATAAAGATTGGCCAGGCATGGGGTTGCACCTGTAGTCTCAGCTACCAGGGAGGCTGGGGTGGGAGGCTTGCTTGAGCTTTAGAGCAGGAGGCTGAAAGTGAGCCGTGATTGTGCCACTGCACCCCAGCCTGGGCTACAGAGCGAGACTCTGTCTCAAACATTAAATGAATAAAAATAAAGCAGAAAAAATAAAAATAAAAAAATAAAGCAGAAAGAGTAGCAATAACCTACCAGTGGAAGCTCGATTAGATTTGTTTTTCTTGACCTCCTAAGAAAGTGATTCCGTGCCTTGCTTTGTTAAGTCTGGCTCAAAAAGCAAGGCATCAAAACAGACTGTTGAATGCTCACTGAGGTAGAAAACCAAAGCCCACAGCAGTGTCCCACATTGGGAGCCAATGGGGGAAAATGAGGGAATGGAAAGGTGAAACAGCAGAAGAAGGCTGGCTGGTGCGCTGC